AATACGAAGATTTCAAGGAATGGCTTAAGATTAAGAGGATCAATTTAGTAAATGAAGACGTGTTATTAGCGTACGTAAAGGGAAAATCGGAAATGTACTCGCCCAATTCATTATGGACAAAAGTTTCAATGTTGAAACTCACTTTGAAGGTATATGACAACATTGACATTTCAAGGTTGGTAATTTATTCATGTAGTGTATTTATTGTGTATTGGGGATGTTTATTACATTACAGATTCGGAAAATTATTCGCCTTTTTGAAAAGAAAGTCTGAAGGTTACAGACCAAAAAAGTCTAACATTTTGTCTGAAGAGCAAGTCATGACATTTTTATTGGAAGCTGATGATGGTGTATGGCTCCTAGAAAAAGTCATCTTAATATGTGGAATATTTGGCGCTTGTAGGGGTGATGAGCTTTTGAAGTTGAACGTGGAGGACTTTGAAGACACCAACAAAAACGTAATAGTTACATTGCGGATCACAAAAAATAAGAAAAGCAGAGTGTTTCTAATTCCGAAAGAAGGACTTCCCTTCAATGCGTATCAGTTATACAAAAAATACGCGGAATTACGTCCTCAACATTTAGAAACTCGGCGATTTTTCATTGCCTACCGCAAAGAAAAGTGTGTTAGGCAGGTTGTGGGCATTCATACCATTGGGGGTGTTCCCAGGAAAATTGCTAAGTTCTTAAAATTAAAAAACCCAGAGTTATACACGGGCCATTCGTTTCGGAGGTCATCCGCTACCATGCTTGCAGACAATGGCGGCGATCTCCTAGCAGTGAAGGAACTTGGAGGCTGGGATTCATCTGCGGTAGCGGAATCGTATATTGAAAATTCTGTTTCGAAGCGATTAAAAATCACCAAACAACTATTTCAAAGGTCCAATGGAAACTCTGAAATTACAACATCCATAGCCACAGCTTCTTCATCAAGTGTAACATCAACAGGTGATAGTGGTCCTCAAGTTTCCAACGATGGACTACAGATTTCTAGCAATAATAACTGTCACTTTAATTTTCATATTCATTATAATAAGTAGTTGTTTGTATTTCAATAAAAGCATTATTTCTTAACGGCCGCATATGCGTCCGTTATTTTTTAACGGACGCCGTCCGTTATGAATGATATTTCATTTGTCAAATGAGTTGAGTTAAATTGAAATAACAGTATGGGATGACGAAAAAATTATAACAAAAACTAGTTACTAGTACAAATACTACAATTTATCTAATATAATTAAAAGAAATAATAAGATTAATGTGAAGGGTGGTGTTGAATTTTATTTGAACATATTTAATATTCGGCTCAAGAGTAGTGAGTAACCTCATTTCTGGTTCGGTATCTAAGCGGTTACTATACTTGGTTTTGGTGGAAATAGATTGCTGTGACCGTAACATTAGGGTCGCATAAAAAAATAAATGCACTCTACAAAACGTATCGCACTAACTTAATCTTCTCTAACTTATCTTCTGATCAGGTCACAGGAACGTAATTTTACTACATTAAATTAAGTGGCTTGCCAACCACTACAGATGTAACCAAGGCAGTCCGAAACGTAGACGACAACTTCAATGAAAAACTACTATTACGTAATCAATTTTACTTGACCAAGATCATGAAACTAAAGACAGGACGCGCGTCTTCTAAGATTTCAACGAATAGCAACTCGGCCTCGAAATTGGCAAAAAGGTCCTCTTTCAACGAACAGTACACCGGCCTCAAAATGAGCGAAAAGGTCTCTTTCTTAAGCCAACTTCAGTATTTAACGTGTCTTCCCTACTTTTCACAAATCGAAAAACTTCATCCAATTACCGGAGAGTACCAACATGACAAATCAATCAAAAACTCGATTAACTGCATTCTTACTCGCTAGTAAATTGTATCAATCTTTTATAAAAATAATTAAAGTGCCCATAAATTAAATCTGAACTGTCGCATAAATGATTTAAAAAAAGCAAAATTAATAACGAAAATGACCGATAAATTTCCCTACATTTAACAATTGTAGGAAATAAAAACAAACCACTTGGGAGAGACACGGACTTTATTCTACAGTAATTAATTTTTTATTTTTTTTAATTGCCTTTATTTTATAGTGGACGGAGTGTTAGCTAATTAGCTATTCTCCCCACTCAACTCACTATACAATCACAAACAGCCATGCCTTACCTGGGATTCGAACCCAGGACCTTTGTAGCCAGAGCTAGAGCTACTAACGTAAACTCTTCTGAGCTACGCAGGTTGGCCACCCATACTCCTTCTCTTCGATCCCTTATCGTAATAATTAAGGAAAGGAATTATCCTTATATCACGAAAACGGTTTGTCGGAGGAGAGTACTCACAAAGGCAAATAAATGGTACGGAGGAGACATCTATTTGTGAGGTCGATGCGAATATCTTGAAAATGAAGTGCCAGAAGAGAGTATTCATAAACAGCAAGTGGAACGTCAGGACGAGACACATCTACTGGTAATGTCAACACTTTTAGTGCATATATCGGCAGAACGGAGTGTCGGAGGCGGGAGGAGAGTACTGGCAAAAGGAGGTAAAATCGTCTAAACGAAACTCATTTACTGGCGATGTGAAAAGTTAATTATGAATATCTCGAAAATGTTGGAGGAAAGTACAAAAAAAACAATATTTTAGAGAATTTCTCTAAGGGCTTGATTCTTCTCTTGCACTATATAGCATTGATTTTGAATGTATGCCAGGCGATCTTTAGATGTTGATGTGTAAAGCTCCCCATTAATCACCTAGCAAGAAGGTAAACATCGATAAATATAGTATGCACCAGGCACTTGCGAAATAATTATTCTTAAATAAATGTATTTCATTCTCATTTAGTCGCCTTATACATTGATAGCAATACACTCTCCCGCTATCCCATCAGGTTTTGCAAACATAAGTTTAATACATAAGGCACATGTTTGGAATTTGATAGTATTTATTATATACACAGGGTGTCTAAAAAATAGGTATCGTGGTGATCAACATCGTACGAAATAACTAAGGAAGGGTCTGTTTGATTTATAAAATAATGCCACATACAATCTTTCTTTTTTAACCAGTTCACTCACTGAACTTCTCTTATTACTGCCATAAAAAATCTGTTTATTTTTTTGGTTGATTAAGTATTATATTTACTGAATTATTTTATTTTATGTCAGTGTTAGTTTACGTTGCGCAACTTATATCCTTAACTAAGTTACAATATAATAGAGGCCGAGAGGAAGAGCAGCTCACCTGAACTCCGCTTCTACTAGTCCTTACTTGTATTAATATTTAGTTCTGTAGTAGTATCAATAAAAAAGACTTTATTATTGTTTAAAACGAGGTAAGCATATGAATTGAAATTATATCGCGCCAATTAAATGTTGCAAATTTTTACTCAACAATTAGCCATATGAAGCTGTGATTTAAGAGCGGTTGGTCCTATAGTTAAGGGACATGTTGAATTAAAAAGGCGAGAGTACGTAGAGGAGTGTGGCGAAAAAGTTTGTTTTCGGCGAGAAATAACAAAGCATTAATACATTTGCGTAAATGGACATACATCAAATCCATTGACAAAATTGTGCAGCCTTCCATTAATGGGGTTATGAAATAAGCTAGCATTGTTTTTTTAAAAAGCCTGCGATTATTGTTCACCGACCAGCATTAAATTTTGGAGTTTACCAAGGACTGTTTGGAGTTCAGGTTGAAATTATTTATGTAAATAATATTATTTAATTAAGATATCCACCGCAAATTTTAAATTGATCTGTTCGAGTGTTTCTGGAAAAACTGTCGTTAAGCGGCCAAAATTGGCATTGACCGTTTTCAGTGGGCCACCCTGTATGCACGTTTTTGCATATACACTTTCCACTACCTTCCCAAAAAATCGATTGAGGAAAGAATGAATACTCCTCACACGATGGACACGATTACTTGAGAGATGCAAAAAACAATAGAAGGCTGCTTCATCATTAGAAAACATCCTCTCTTTACATTAATTAAAGTTTTTTTTTTAGAGTTTTTCTAGTCATTAGCTTACAGTACAGTAGTTATTGAATCGAAGAAATTCAAGAAATAGCAATATTGAGTACATTTTTCGTCTGGGTTTATAATTAAAGTTACCCATGTGTCGGTACTTTTCGGTTGAGTCTATATTCAAAATGTCACTTGAACGGCTCTCATGTAAAAAACTTTTATTCCCTTATTAATTACAATTACAATTTCATTAAAAGACGGTTGTTGGTGTAAAGCTGTAGACGTTGCGGAAACGCGAATGACATCATCAGGAAAAAAGCATTACTGATGTACCACACAAACCGTACCATGTGCGCTATCATCGATCTAGTAATAATTAGAAGAAAACTAAAAAAATTAATAATACGTTTTTGATAGGATTATAATTGAGCTTATAAAAAATAAGCGAAAAGGTAAACGACTTCGAGCGGATTCTGCGATAGTACCATTTTTGGGACCGCGTAAAATATTTATAGTTACACGTTACTGTTATTAGATGCGTATTACAGAAACGCACAATCAAAATGTAATGGACTCATTCTTTACGTTCTCTTAATGGAAAATGACATTGATTGAAATAGCCCGATTGTTCGGCTCTCTTAACGAGCAAGGTAATTTTAGAACAGTCGGTTTGGCCAATTATTCTTTCATAAATTGTAGCCGGAAGGGGAAAGAAAAGTTGAATATCGATTCAATTCAATTTAAATAAATTTGTTTCGCAGAGTATTAAACTAATTTATCAATGATTTATTGCAATAAAATCGCACTGGAGTGGGTACGTGGTCATCAAAATGCGGCACCAATAAAGCTCGGCATAAATGCAAGATAACTATCGGACATTAAGAATATAATAAGTATTTATGCTCGCGGAGATCGTGCACACCATTTTTAAAAGTTTAAACGGTTGGTACATACATTTCGTGATACCTAATCATCTTGGTTAATTTGCATATGTGGATAAAGAAGAGGCATATTATACGGATATGGTACTTACGTGTAACTTCCATGGGTATTGAGGCACTTCCCGTGTTTACATGGCATTTGTTTGCATTCATCCTTATCGTCCGTGCAGGAGGACCCCGTAAAACCCGGGGCGCACCTGCATTTGTAGGAATCACCGACTGACGTACACTCTGCACCGTTCCGACAGGGCTGTGAAGCACAGTGATCTTTGCTTTCGCAATGTTTTCCTGAAAAAATGAAAGGTCTTGGTTAGTTCGATTCGCACGGAAGGGGCAAGCAATCCAGCTACAACATAGATTATGAATACAACAACGACAACAACCCCTAAATTTTTGGTCGCCATAAGTGTGATTTTAGCCCAAGGAGAATAGTGTATTAGTTTATAAATTAAAAAAATTTAATATAACAAATCGCAAACCAATAAATAGGTAAATAGAGCAGCTGTTTACTTGGCATTGTAAAACATCCTCTAATCCTAGCGTAAAACTCTAGAAGCACAAAATATACTAGTATGCTCTTTGGCACAAGCAAGTGGTTGGATGTGCAAAATGCCAACAATTTTGAATTTACGAAAGGCAAACGAGCTAAAATGTACAATACGCCACTTTGGAAATGCGGTGGGCACATTTTCCAAAATATTGGCAATGTTGAAATTTTGAAAAATGTTGAAAGCTTTGGGAACGTTCAGATATTCTATAGGAATGGTTGACGAATGTATTACACTAATTTTTTTTTATTGAAAATGTTAGTCGCTATCGATTTCGGACTTCCTCGCCCATCATCAGGCGATACGTCAGAATGGTTAACGAATCATGAAAATGTAGTGAAGAATGTTGGACGTAATATCTGAATATTATTTTTGAAAATCTGTAAAAATTGTGAAGAATGATAGGCGTGTATGGTGAAGTGAGGTTGGAAATATATATTGGAAATATTTCCAACCTCACTTCACCATACACGCCTATCATTCTTCACAATTTTTACAGATTTTTAAAGTGCAGCCAATAGCGATTTTTCACTTTGAGGAAAATACGCTAAAAAGTTTCATATGTAGACACTTCGAATAAAAGTAAAACTAATAGTGCAGCGGAGAGCCGGCGCTAACTCGCTTATTTGAGGTAGTTTTTTTTTTCGGAGTAGAAAGAATTGGGACCCACACCATTTTGTTCAGAAATGTTTGAACCTTCAGAATCTCGCTTTACGACATTTTCCCGTGGTCCTGACAAAAGTTATAGGCCGCTAAAGATGAAATTTACTCATTTTCGCGCGCGCGACTAGACCACGGAAAGTATTTATTTTCTCAGCAACTAAGCGATATACATCAATAATTCCTTTTGTAAAATGAAAGTACATTTATATCAGAATCTAAAGCATTCAATTTACCTACCTTGTTATGCACAGTTTTTAGAAAAATGACCGTCAACTTCCAAAATTCGTGTAGCAGATGAAAAGTGCGCACTTTGAACTCTCATAACTTTTTATTTCACGACATCGATTTCCAATATTTATAGCTCATTCGATGCTCCAAAGCATTGTGATTATTTTATTTTCTATAACATTACCGTGAATTTTTCATAATAAAAAAGTTACGCTCATTTAAGTAAAAACCTACCGACCTCGCCGAGTCGGTAATCGCGAGTGAGACGGAGAGGGAAGGATAGTCAGCACCGTTCGCTAACAAGGAGCGATGCGTAAAAGAATCTTTACTTTAACTAGAAATTTCTCTCCGAATAACCAAAAACTAGCTATTTAGGCCGTTTAGTTTACAAATGCATTCCGCCGAGTTGCATTGTAAAATCTCAAACAATTCATTAACTCCATGTATCTCAGTTCTTTGGTGAAATATATAGGTACAAATAGGTACCTTTCCCTGTAAATTTTGGGGGTTACTCCAAATTAGGTATCTCTTGTGCTGTGCTGTATATTGCAAGATCAGCAGTAACAACGGTATGATTTTGTCCCAAAGATTCAGGCTTGTTTTTTGATTTCACTAGACGATGGTTAGGATGGTATTGTAGCTCGCTGGTGCAGAATTCAAAAACGGCATAGGTATATTATATTGAATGGTAGATACCGGAACTTACTTAGGAGGATTATCAGCAGGTACGTTAAAGTCAGTTATCTGGTCGTTATCTAGTGATAGGTAAACCTGGTGGTCAATCATTTCTAGACATGCCGTCTGCATGATCTCGAATTTAAACTTAACTTAAATAATTTAAATATGTAGTCATCTCAATAGTTTCAAAACTTTTATGAGTTTTTTTTTTCCCCCCGGTTCTTTTGAAATGTGTTAAATTCAACTTTCAACTTTTAATGTAATAATTCAACCCTCCGGTTGGTTGTCTTACTTAACAAGGCTTGATAATAATTCGTTTTGAAACTTAGGACAACCTTTCCGGTTTAAGCACCCTTCAGGTTTTTTCACTTGGCTTCGGCCAGTTAATAATTAAAAAACAACATGTTCGTCTTATTCGTCTTCAACGTTTGTAACTTACCGTTTTCCTGTTAAATTTCACATCGCCTGATGATGGCAGTACCCCGAAGCTATAGTCGCTTTTATTTTTAAAAACTTCAACGAATAAAAACTATATGGGGAAGGTTTAGAGAGTTTTGATCACACAATATATTTCAACCCCCATTTCGAGGAACGATAGATCCAAACACCAAAAAAAAGTGGTAAAGTTTCTTTTTTTCTCAGCAACAGTTACAGAGACTGGTGGTAAGTCTTTGAATAGGTTTTGCTGTATGCCCTTTCCGGTTTTGCAAATAATTTTTCCAAATTCCTACCGCAAAAGGACACACCCCTCAATAGGGGTGCGAAAAAATGTTGATTTCGACGAAATTTGGTATCTGGTGGTTTTTGAATCGGAAATTAGTTTTTGAAAATTCGAAAAAAATAATTCCACTGCAATTCTTGGCCGGACAACGAAAATTGACAAAATTCCACGAAGTTTGTTGTCTAGGTACATACTTACGGAACAAAATTATTGAACAGTTTTTTTAAGGTCATTTTTCAAACAAAAGTTACACTCATTTGCAAATTGGTCTTTCGGGTCAGAAAATGTTCTCCGACAGTGGCATAACAAGTACAGTAAACGTCAATATTACATGTTCTGCTAAGGGTGTCTACCTACATTTCACAAAAATTTGTCAAATAAAAAATGATAATTTTATCACAGCGAGCAACTTCGACATCAATGAGGAAACAGTCACAGAATAAGAATAAGTAGGCCATATTCTGTGGAAACAGACGAAAAAAATTCAACGCACAGTCTTTTTTCAAAAGCGAGATACATCGACAGAAGAAATCCAAATTCCTCGTTTACCTATCACTAGATAACGACCAGATAACTGACTTTAACAGCCTAAGTACCTGCTGATAATCCTCCTAAGTAAGTTCCGGTATCTACTATTCAATATAATATACCTATGCCGTTTTTGAATTCTCCACCAGCGAGCTACAATACCATCCTAACCATCGTCTAGTGAAATCAAAAAACAAGCCTGAATCTTTGGGACAAAATCATACCGTTGTCACTGCTGATCTTGCAATATACAGCACAGCACAAGAGATACCTAATGTGGAGTAACCCCCAAAATTTACAGGGAAAGGTACCTATTTGTACCTATATATTTCACCAAAGAACTGAGATACATGGAGTTAATGAATTGTTTGAGATTTTACAATGCAACTCGGCGGAATGCATTTGTAAACTAAACGGCCTAAATAGCTAGTTTTGGTATTCGGAGAGAAATTTCTTAGTAAAGTAAAATCTCTTACGCATCGCTCCTTGTTTAGCGAACGCTGCTGACTATCCTTCCCTCTCCGTCTCACTCGCGACTCCCGACTCGGCGAGGTCGGTAGGTTTTTACTTAAATGACCGTAACTTTTTTATTATGAAAAATTCACGGTAATGTTATAGAAAATAAAATAATCACAATGCTTTGGAGCATCGAATGAGCTATAAATATTGGAAATCGATATCGTGAAATAAAAAGTTATGAGAGTTCAAAGTGCGCACTTTTCATCTGCTACACGAATTTTGGAAGTTGACGGTCATTTTTCTAAAAACTGTCCATAACAAGGTAGGTAAATTGAATGCTTTAGATTCTGCTATAAATGTACTTTCATTTTACAAAAGGAATTATTGATGTATATCGCTTAGTTGCTGAGAAAATAAATACTTTCGGTGGTCTAGTCGCGCGCGCGAAAATGAGTAAATTTCAACTTTAGCGGCCTATAACTTTTGTCAGGACCACGGGAAAATGTCGTAAAGCGAGATTCTGAAGGTTCAAACATTTCTGAACCAAATGGTGTGGGTCCCAATTCTTTCTACTCCGAAAAAATTTTTTGAACGATTTCGCGGCTCTCTCCGCTGCACTATAATGCCTATCCCAAATTTGTTTGTATTTGTATACGATCCTCTATTTTTCATTAAACTGTATAGACTTCGACGATAAGCGGCTCATTTAAAATAGAATGGGGTAGGGATCTCGTGCCTATCGGTATTTTTCCTGGTCCTAGCATTAATATTATTAGGAGGAAAATACGCTCTCGTCATTTATTTTGCATAATGATTACATTTGATTTTATTTTGTTCTTCATTTTCGGTTGTATGTCTGGTGTGTTCTTCCTCCTTTCCTTGCTATCGTTGTATATTTGTTTTTTAACAATGCCTTTTACACTTTTTCGTTATGGTATAATTTCGACTTCCATGCCACATTATTTATCTTCCTTAGTCCCATTTTCACGTTATTTCCTTAATATCTATCTTTCTGTGCGATACTTCTTATATTTATTTGAATATCTGTAACTTTTTTTGTTCTGTTGTTATCTCGGTTGTTATTTATGAAAATCTGCGTTTCTTTACAGTCCTTCACTTATTTTGCATTACTTTACTCTTTTCTTCTTAGTCCCCCAGCTCTCACATATTTTTGTGCCTAATTTGGCGGCTTCTTTTATTTTTACTTCGATCCCTAAGTGCTTTCTAATAAAATTACCCATATCTTCCTTTATCACTGTCTGGTTTGATCCCATTTTTTTTTCTGTTCTGTTCTTTTAATTCTTTCCTTATTTGTGTATTTACCTGTTTTGCGTTTGTGTTTTGTTTCTTTACTTTTCGGTATAATAAGTAGTACGATTTCTTGATTGTTCTTCTTTTGATCCTAGCTTATTCCTTTGATTTCGTATGTTACATAGTTCACTCATCGTTTCCAGCAATTAATC